GGTTATTTAAACCAGTTTACCTTTGTTACACCTTAAATATGATCAAAGTGGTATATTTAGTAAAAATTTAAGTGTTAATGAAAATGTGGCTCATTAATAGTACACTCACGTGGCCACTCAAGTAACTATAAATTATAGATGGAGAATCAGATATTTACTATTTAGACGTGTCCTTGAAGGCAACTCCAAAATTTCTAAGAAAGTATATTTTTTAGCAGTGCCCCAGGCTATTCTACAGGTTTTGGCCCGTTATTCAAGTTAGTTTATTGTAAATAAATGTAATTATATTTTTAAATTTTAAATTAATTTGGTAGTGATCACTAATTAGTGAAAAAAGTGTGCAAATAAGCAACTGTCTATTTCTGACAAGTGAGATCGTATATGAGCAAATTGTATGCATATTACATAATATAGTCCTATTTTAATTTAAAAATAATAGTTATCATAATCATGTAAAATATATTATTATTATAATATTATAAAATTAAATAGTAAAATTATTGTTGCCAATAACAGTAAATATCAACCTCCCACAAAGATACTCCTAAAGCAGTACATAGATTTAAATATATGGTTTAAGTATTTATATATTTAAAAATTCTAAACATTTGGATTTGAATAAATTTATTGTTATTTAACCTTGTATACTATTTTTTCAGCTTTTGAACTATCATACGAAGAGAAACCGCTTTCCCATTATTTTTCTATATATATACCAACTGGCCACTAAATAGGCAATCGGATGGTTTTTCAAAACAAGAAGTTAATTCAATCTGCAGTAAATAGTATGTTATTTTATTAATACATAAACGAATATCGTTATAAAATTATTATTATTCAGTACATACCAGTTTTCAAAATATTTATCTGAAAATATTAATACATAATAAATTATAACTTCTTTATGGCGCTATATTGTTATTATAATATATGCAAGTAAATTAACTCCAAAATTTAACATAAAAATATTGGTTATGTATTAACATCATACTTATTATGTTGTATTCAGCAAAAAAAAAAAAAAATCCTTAATATATACCAAAATATTCATTTATTAATACTCTTTTTTCAATAAATTCCATTTTTATTTTTTTATTTTTTGAAAACCGTTCTGACTTGATTAGAGGTGGGTAAGTAGAGTTACATTTTAATGAATAGAACCTGTGTTTTTTTTTTCAAGAATATGCGATCTTTATTATCTAACTTGAAGTCTTACTCGGAAATTGTTTACCATTTCATATTTAACTATCTTACAGATACACAAATAGATTTTCCGCTCTTTTTCCGATATAGCAAAATTAAAAAAAAAAAAAAAAAAAAAAAAACGTAGATGACACAACAAAAACAGTAATTAATTTCCCTTGGAACCTTAATAAGGCACGCATAACCATAGAGTTTTTTTAAAACACTGAATTGACGATCATCGCGACATTATCGTGTAGGTATGCTTAACGTGATCCATAAGAATTACGTCTGTCCGCGGTCGTGCGAAATCACTCGATGACGACCTTCATGGATCGAACTATTTTCTACCGCTGCAGCTCAATAGATTGTAGGCTGCGACTATTACTATCGCTGCATTCCGTGTAACGGTAGGTATGTACGTATGTTTTCACTATCCCACACGATATTCCGTCGATAGGCCGCCAACAGGTGTTTGCAATCGTAAAGACGATTGATCGTCACTGCAGTTTTCTTCTTATAAAAATAAACGATTGCAGTTGACGAGGTGATCGACAAAACATCGGATAGGTGAGCATTACCGCAGCGTGTGGCGCTGATATCGCGGGCGAGCTGAGTCGTTCATGCTTTCTAAACGCGAGCTGTGCACTGTCGTCGATACGATACAGTATAGGTAGTTTACGATATGGAATCGACGGTAATATAATAATAAACACGCTACTCAATATACCTCGGCTACTGCAGTTCAGGCTTCAAAGACGGGCGGCTTGCGCGCGTGGCGAAATCCGCTACCGTCGGAGTACACACGAGGTTGATTAATGATTAAAAATGATTTATTATTGACACCGTCACGACGGCGGCAGAAAGCCGAACTCGATTTGACCCAAACTCAACCCCGACGTTGGTAGGCACCGTTTGGCGCTCAACACTCGACGATACGCTTAATTTGTTTTCCAATTTCCGTATTGCAAACTAATTTGATGTTCATTTCGTGTACTGCAGTACCTAGGCGGCAGCATATTATCATTATGACCGCATTGAACTAGAATAGTCGTGCCAAATAAATATTGCGTTTGTTTCGCGCGCCTCAATTTTCTGTAAATATTAGGTACCTATACAGTATTTTTACGTCGCGATGGTAGGTTAAAATTCATTCGACACGTTTCGTCATCGAAATAGCACATTATAAGCCTGTCGGGTCACAACTTTACTCGTAAATTTTGGCGGTAAAAGTGGAGGATTTTAAATTAGACTCGGCTGTAAGCTAATCGACAATTATTTAACGATTGTTTCCATTTAAAACGATCGTTGTGTGTTGTCATCTAGATATTTATTGTAACCTGTTGAGTATCATAATAATAATAATAATAATAATAATTCATTTTTAATTTTCTAGGTTTTACACACCTACAAACGAATTATTGTACGTAAACTCATATCTTATAAAAAAAAATATCGTTTTTTCTTAACTATTATATTATTCAATACTACCTATATAATTGATCTACATAGTTTTGTCATTGAAATCATACTTTCATATTCATACACGCTTGGTAATTATTAATAAATAATAACACAGTACGTTAGTAAAATTAAATATACCGATTTAAAGTCAATTTTACAGTGATTAAAATAATACCCTCATGAGTGATGATCGAACACATTGATAATTATATTATTTATAATTCAATTCAAAGAAATGTAGCATACATTTTTTTCTCCTAATTACGCTTTAAATCAATTACAGTGAAAATATTTCGTATGCATATTATAAACAAATACATCACATTGTAAGCTGTTGCATATAATTCGTGTAAATTTAAATAGTCACATTTGTAATAATTGGAACATTTTTTTCTACGTTTCATGTTTCACGTCAAACGACATAAATTTGTAGGTAGGTGCCTATAAATATCTTTATTTACGTTATTTGTGCTGTTGCCGATACAGAAAAGACAATCATTTATTCTACTGTTGTAACTATTATTTTTATCACTATTATCGTTACTATTACTATTGTATTCAGTTTTTTAATATTATTATTATTTTTTTTTTTTTTTGTATAGCGCGCGTGAGATGTTTAATGCCGTTAGAACTGACTTTCACCTTCGGACGTCAATACTGCCGCAGGTTGATGTTTTGGCGGCAAATACGTATATAGATATACGAATGCAACAAATATAAACATTTTACATACCATTCGTCGGGTAATTTGTATTTACGATATTTTAGAAGTTCATAATAATCAGTTGTAAAACTTATTACGTTACACATTATTCACGCCAATATTAATTGATTTAATTTTAAGACTCGAACACTGAGTTCCAACTAAATAAACGAAATAACGGTATTTATAAGATTTATACCTATAGATGTTAACACGCGTCATACTTGGTCCATAAGTCATAGCAGTACTTTTTAAAAATAATTCCGTAGAATGACAATATCACAATTTGATATACCTCCAGTCTATCGTTTTGGACTTGTGTCGAGGATTAAAATGACAATAAGTTTCTTAACGAAATCGAGTAATTAATAAAAGCAGCGATTCGCGAAAGTAAATATACAATGGTTCATGATTTCATGAAGATGATGTCGCATCAATTATTCAGTTATACTCAAATAGTGAAAGTATTATCCTAGACGAATGTGACACTAATTAGTACGTAAATATAATTTTTCTTAATTAAATATTTTTAATTTTAAGTTAATATTAGTGAAAACTTTTACTAGAATGACAAAAAGATTAAATAATTTTTTTGTTTTAATTATAATAACCCCCGGAAATGCGTAGCTATTGGAAAAACTGAATAATTTAGTATATAAATACAACATTTAAATGCCAAAATAGTTAAATTATGAAAATAATAATTACGTGTTCTAATATCAAAATTCCATATCAGAGGTTTTAGAATCTTCATGCATCATGTGGGTTTGAAAATGTGTTTATGACATTTTTTACCATGCGTAGATGGTATAAATAACATAAGAAAAATCAATTTATAATTTATTATTATAAAACTATATATATTTAATTAAAGTAAAAATAAAATGTTGGGTTAGGTTAATTAGATTTCTTAATGAATTATTTGAAAACTGTGTTAATAATATTAATTACATAAAAATTGGGAAGTATTACTTATTCCAATCTAATGATTTTACTAAATTTTTCTAGAATAAAAATCAATTCCTATTAGATACCCGATATACTTAACTAAACCATATTTGTTAAATTAAAATGTAATTAAGATATAAATTATTTAATTGTATATTAAAATATTCACTGAAAATACATCGTTATAGGAAACGTCGTGGGCAATTTAAACTGAAACAGCTGATATGTTTAGAAATTAAAATTACTTTAAGTAAGTTAAAATAGTCAACAGTTATGGTGTACTATTTATATTATTACCTTATAGTCTAAATATTAAGTAATTTAGTACCTAGTGTACAATATATACATAATATTATGTACCGAACAAAAAATATTGATATTTTCATAGACACATAAATTATTGAAATTTAAAGTATAAGTTAATGATCCACATTGATGAGAATGCATGTTTATGAAAATTATTCTTGGAACTAAAATTATTAATAATTATCATTTAGTAACTTTAAGCGTATAAGTATATTTTTTTTTAATCTAAATTAGTTCTTTTAATTTAATCGATAAATGTTGTTATAAGTATTATAGTAGGTATATGGTAACGGTTTAAAATTAAAATAAATAAATTTAAAACGGCCGTCATGATAGTGCAGAGGAAAATAGGAAAATAAAATATGTACTTAGTAAAAGAAAAAATGTATTAACATACCTTCATTTTGACAATTTAACATCAATAGCACAGTACTTATACTTATAACAATAACAACCAAATCGACGGTCCCGTATAAAAAATATAATATATTTCCACTGATAGAAAATAATTTGTATAAATTAAATAAGCACTCTCACTATATCACGCGCGCGGGAAGCACTTGCATTCTCACCAGCTCCGTACGTCATACAGTGCTCGGTATCATCACATGAGGCTTTTACCCGGACGGTTACCGCGCAATGACCCCACCACGGAACACGGTAATAATATTGTCTTACACAACGACCACGAGGTCCTTTCTCCACACATTACTGTTATTATTTTTGTACCGGGTACTCACACCCAACCGTGCACAATATAAAATATAAAACACGATAATGTGAATTCAAGAACTTTAATGGAGAGGTCTATTACATATTCATTAGACCTGTTTTTCAAATAAATAAAAAGGAACACAATTGAAAGACAAGAATAAAAAATGACTTTTATTGCCAGAGGGGGTCTTTCCAGTCAACCTTGAATCCGAGCATGACTTTTTTCCTAAAATCCGTTTTACTTATACGAGTACGTCTGACGTAAACCATTTTAGTAAAAAAAAATCGATTAAAAAACATTTTTTGAACCAGCTATCAATTTATTATGTCCGTTTAAAGATTATACGAAAATTTGTTGCCAAGTATATGAGTAACGTAAAAAGAAATTTTAATTTTTAACGTAAGTGATTCATTTTGGTACTGAAATTAACGTTATAAAAATGGTGTCCATATTAACCCTTACATATAGTTATAACTTATATGTGATAAAATAGAATAATTATTGATTTTTATCAGGTTATAACTTATAATTTAGTAATATTAAGTAATATTAGACTAGTTTAATATTGGTTTGAGTAAGTAGTTTTAAGATAAAATATATAATTTATATAAAAATATGACCATAGAAAACCATTTAAAAAAAAAGTTTAACTGTGATTACTTGTTTTACAATTTTTATTTTTACGTTATCCATGTCAATCGTTTTATGGAGAGATAAACATTTTTATCATTACGTTTTTGAATTCTTACGAAAATTTAATTTAATGTTTTTGAATTGAACCATTTAAACCTTCCACTCTACAGACTACAATTATGGCAATAAGAAAACTTTTAATAATATGAAATAGACCAGCGATTCTCAAACTGGGGGTCGCCATCAATCTTTTTAGGGTCGTCAATATATAAAATTAATTTATTAAAACTAAAAGAAAAATTTCTCAAATATTTTGATCCAACGAAAGACACGAGTCCTGCAAACAATTTATGAGTTATTAATCCATTTTTAAAATCAAACAAAAACGTATTATCATTATCAAATGAAGAAAAATTAATTGAATTACATTCTAGCTACAAATCTTGGTGACATTATGAAGGGTCGCAGCCTCAAAAATATTGAGAACTGCTGAAATAGACCACGCGAGCGTCCAAAATAATTAAGTAAGCATTATTTTGTTTTCCTGGGTTATTCAGTGTAAATTAAATAAGTTAACTTGTTCTGAAAACACACTCTGAGAAAAATTCAGAGTTTATGAAAATCATTCTACTTACAGGGCGGTAAAGACGAAAATAATTTGTGTACGGTAATACCTATTATTGGAAAGTATATACTCGGTCTACCCGTAAATTATATAATTTTTTTTTTTATCTGAGTATTCTATGTATCCACAGAACTTACCCGAAGTGATTCACATATTATTGTACTTTTAACTTTTAAGTAAAATATAAACATCACACTCCCTAAAACGATTACTTCTTACCACGTGTGTACCACCTTCATGACGCCCAGACAGTAATAATGATAATAATAATATTTACTATAATATTGTGTCGAATCGTTGATGATTTCCTACTGCATAGTTTGATGTTATGACATGTCGATCACGGATACGGTTATTTGTATTATTATCTCGTTGTTGCCATTATTCCATGTGATACAAGTGGAAAATTATCACGCAAACCGTATGAAATTGAATCTCAACAATACAAATGTGTTATAGTGGCAATCAATGATTTTTTCCACTAGATTTGAAATCTCACACATATAGTTTATCGTACGTAGATGTTATTATTATTACGAATCATTGGTAATTTATGGTGAGGAGATGCATTAAAATCTCCAACCGATTTTAAATCTTAACGCTAGCTACAGTATTCAATGCGGATATTTGAGTATCTGACACGTCATCAGTAACAAACTTATATGCGTATAAGTGTATCGCATATAAACGACTTAAATTAAAACAAGAACCTATACGAAATAAAAATTCTCATGAAGAATAAAATCATGTAGGTAATAGATAGGTATCTAATTATTTGAATCTTTTAACAACTATGTGTTTTACTCAAACTATGAGTTAGGCACATTCTTCTCTATACCATACGTTAGGTATTTATTTATGTAGACTAAAATATGAACTATAGTAATACGTTTGTATTGAAGAAAGTTAATAATATTACATACAAATTAATAATCATACCTTACCGACCATGGACTACATGAAATATAATGAAAGTGAATGCATAAGTAACATAATAATATGATTCAAAATGTTTTAAAGATTTTAAAATAAAAATGTAAGATCTGTATTATACATGAAAATTAGTATTAATTAATTTTGAATTTATATCACTAAAATACTTGGTTAATAATTCAATTAAAATGCTACTATGACAAATATATTTTAACTATTGTTAATTAACTTAACACGTGATAATATAGTTATAACTTTGTTAATTTAGTATCGTATTAAATATCGTATATAGTAAAAAATTTTAGTATGTTATACAGCAAACACATGTAAGATATATAACAATATACTTCGAAATTATCAATAAGTATAAACAACAAAATATAGAATATTATAACCAAGTAAATCTGCACTTTTCCACCAAAGTTGACCTTTTCATTAACCGCCAGTATAGCAATATATATTTTTATTTTTTACTACATCGAATTCAGTTTTTAGATTTTAATGACCTCTTTTTTATAAAAAAAAAAAAAGTTGCGAAATTATAAATAATTAGCAATAATTTTAAAAATAACTTTAAATTTAAATAAAAGCGAGTAATAAATTATTAATTAAAAATATTATATACGTACAAATTGCATAAATACAAAATATTTTATGATGTAAGTAATATGTAAAAAAATATAAGACTACAAAATTATGAAAAAAAAATATATATAATAAATTTTAAAAATTCTATTCATATATAAAATACTTAAAAAAGCTATATTTTTAATTGGTGCCTAATGCTTTGTAAGTGGTCAATTTTATTGAAAAAGGGAAAGATAATGATCTAAATAATATTTATCTACTGTTTACCTATTATCATTATTATTAATATTTAGTCTAAACACTTAAAGTATAAAATAATTTTCAATCAAAATAGAAGTAATAAAGTGAGAATTCAAAATATTTTTATAAACATAGTATGTATAGATTACAAAAAAAGCAGATATGGTAAAATTGTTGACACTTTTACTACAATAATTGAAGTTTTCTTTAGATAAGTATCATCAATTTATGTTATTATTGACGGATTGATGGATAATGGATTAAGGACTTATATGATTTATAGTTTATACAATCGAAAAGATTATATATTATTATTTTGTTGCATGCCAATTTTAACGTTGTGTAATATACTTATACACATCATGTTATTATACGGTAATATACGATGAAAAATAAAATAAAAATTGTGAATAAAGATAACACGCGTAAAACAAACCTGTGTCCTAAACTACGCCATATATTACATACCTATGTAGTATAACTAATTCTTAAATTATTGTACAATCAGTAAAGTAAAAATTAAATTATCCTCCTAAGATTAAAATTATCTTTATTTATTAGTTATTTCAAAGTTTTTAATAAAAAATAATTTAAAATTGTCAAACTAAAAAATTTGTAATATAACTGTCAGAATACAAGATAATTACTGTTATCGTGTACTAAAAAAATCTTTTCCAACGCGTTTTAATAGTTTATCAGTTTATTTTGTATATTTTTTATAGTACCTATATAATATAATAATTAATAATTTGACTCCCTAAATTGAAAAATAATTAAATATAGTAACTAGTTCCTATTGAGTCTTGAAATATGATTACAGCGTTAATCGTTAAAAAATAACCGATTGAAATAGTTACAACGGAAATTATTAAATTATACTATTGAATTTATAAACATACGAAAAAATGCATAAGAGTAGAATACTTGAATGTAATTGCGTACATTTTATACTGTTAGATCATAAAAAGTTTAAAAATAATTTAAAAATTATAATTTTTAAGTACATAATATATAATATTGTCTATTGGTATGATTTGAATACTCTTATGTTGTTTGTATGAGTTTTATCATTTTAAATTCATTTGATACCATGATGGCATAATATTAAGTATTTTAAATTGTACAAAAAGTGACATTATGATCTCTGTATAATTATGGAAAAGTTGTATTCGTCATGATCGTAGAGAGTGTTAAGTGTTAGTATAAACTTAATATGAAAATTTAATACGGTTGAGAGATTTTAACAATTTAATATTATGACTGGATTTAAAGATATATTTCATTCATGTGCAATATTAAAAATATTTACGAAATATTCATTATTGCAAAAAAAAAAAAAAAATATAATGTATTTTTTTAAATCAATTTAATTAAAAAGTATGTAATTTATATTATTATACAACATAACAAGCCAATTAAACAAGAAATCATATAAGAACATAAATTTCGTATATGAATACACTGTACGGTAGTTACTGATTGTCGTTAAACAATTTGAGAATTAAACAATATAATTGCGATAAAATTAACATAGAATGAACAGTCGTAATTCATAATATTAAAATTAAACTCAAGTAAGAATGTTGCATAAGAAAATTTCTGGTAAAAAAGCCATTACATGGTATTTTTATTAGCACATTATCTTTGATCATTTTATCATAATATAATTTGGAATTTTGTTTTTATAGGTACCTAGTTTCATCTATTTTTAATATGACAGTTTCATTAAAATGTTGATAATTCAATAAATCGGATTATTTCGGAGATTGTTGGAATGGCATCGAATAAAAACATCATTACAAATAATTATTGAAATTTTAATTTTGAATTATGTGAATGCTACGCATAGGTATTTAATGGTTTTAAA